ATGAAATTCTGAGTATAAAAACATCTCTTACGATTACAAAGTGTTCCTCAACCCATTTACAAAAGTCTTATGTTCAACTAAAAATATTGAAAAAAAAATTGAACGAAAAATAAATGGAATCGTCACGTGACGACAGATTTTCATCTACACTGAAGAAACGAAGTGCGATTAAATTATCACGATAACTGTTAATAATTCTTGATCACGAGAGTTAAAATAAAAAATAATGGCAATTGAATGGGCAAAGAGAATAAACTACGAAATGGGTAAATTTTGTTGGATTTAAATCCGCTCTAACCAGGCGAGAATCGTTTTAGCGTTTATTAACGCATTTGCCGTTAGCCTCTGCTGCGGAGATTAAAAGCACGAATGGCCGGTGCATTTAGGTCGGCCTGAATGTGCCATTGTTTCATGGCATGATCCGTCGCTTATTGTCACGGCTGTTTCACTCTGAATTCATCTCCGGGGAAAATTTAATAGAATCCAATTGATGGGTTGTATTTTTGAATTGCGACATGCGTTAGAGATTCATCGAATTGAAGAGGTGAGAGATAAATTTTGGAAAATTTTGAGATCGAATGATTGGGGGAGTAATAAAACTCGTTTGGGCCATGTTCAGGTCAACAGCAACAAAAAATGACAAAAATCACTGATCAAATTACAATATGTTTTGGATGCTTAAGGCATGACCCTCGTATGCCACCTATAATACTTATCCTGATCCTTGTGACCCTTATTTAGACCCTTGTGACCCTTAATCTGGCCCTCATGGCCCTTACTTTGATCATCATGATCCTTGTGTCCCTTAATCTGGCCCTCATGACCCTTACACTGACGATCATGACCCTTATAGCCGTTATTTTAACCATCATGACCCTTGATGTGATCCTTGTGACCCTTATTTACACCCTTGTGACCCTTAATCTTGCCCTTATGGCCCTTATTCTGACCATTATGACCCTTGTAGCCCTTATTCTGACCATCATGACCCTTGATCTGATCCTTGTAACCCTTAATCTGGCCCTCATGACTCTTACTTTGACCATTATGACCCTTGTGACTTTTATTTACACCCTTGTGACCCTCAATCTGGCCCTTATGGCCCTTATTCGGTCCATTGTGACCCTTGTAGCCCTTATTCAGACCATCATGACCCTTAATCTGTTCCTTGTGACCCTTATTGAGACCCTTAATCTGGCCCTCATGACCCTTATTTTACCCCTGTGACCCTTAATTCTGAAGTCTTAATTTCAAATACTAAATTTTCACCACAAGTAACTTTAGATTTTTATAATCTAGAGAGACATCATTAAATTCGTTGAAATTTGAATTGCAGTATAAAAATCTGGAATTCTCATCAAGAATCGAAAATAAAAAATAACTGATTAATGAACCTGAACATGGCCGGAAGGTGTTTTATTAACTTGAAAACAGATGATCGCGAACGTGAATTTCACTGGGATTATGGGAACAGTTGCGGTTGATTCTTATTTCATATTGTGGGATGATCCGAATTGATTCATTTGACTAATGGAGGTGAGCAGTTTTACATTGGCTGTTGTGAGGCAGATGTTTTATTCATGAAGCTATTCTCAACTTCTGCGGAATACCTTGCTATGTACACGTGGGCCTGTATTTTTCAGTTTATTGCGTAATATACTCACCATGAAGTCGTTAAAGTGGTTCGGGAGAGGCGGCTATATTACCTCGGTCAAGTGTCATGCAGGTGTCGAAGGCTCCGAAGGAATTCAATATTTTTCTTTAAAATAATTTTTTGTTAGGATGACTGGTGGTATTTTTTTCTTTCAAATTTTTTTTTACAAACGATCCATTCAATTTCATAAATTTTTTCACGAATACAAACTTTGATAAACTCTATTCGCTGAAATCAATCGAAAATCAGTTTTTCATACAGACTCAAAAGAATTGATATTTAAAAAAAAAAATGGAATTAATTATGGCTCAAAAAAAAAATCAATACCCTTTTGTTCCCAATGCTCTGAGGCCCTCCAATTGGCGGATAATTGCATGAATAACGGCAATTTTTTGTAATTTACAATGAGAAACTCTCTTCCAAATTTTGCTCCTAAAAATCTATGAACAATAAATTTCCCCAAAAGTCGATTCCCCGCGAGATGAATGAAGTTTTCGAAAGTTAAAATAATTTTCATGTTTCATTCATAACGCGGAAGTGTTCGGGGAATACTGATGTAATCCGGAAAGTTATCCAAACACTGCTCATGCATGAAAATTCGATTCCGTGAAAGAAAAAAACACAAATTTTCCGCAGATTCAAGATAATTTCCTTTCGTTATCCGCAACGCGGAAATTTCCGCGAAAAAATTGGGCTGCGAAATGCGATCCGCGTGACGTCGATTCCGCCTAAGTGCTTCTACATTTTCCTCGCTCGATTCGTTCGGAATAATTAATGCCTAATTATCATTGAATCCAATCACGACACCTGGATGACCTCAGCGAGTTCATCGATTGCATTCGTACCATCAAAACGCGGGAAACTGATGACTAAACGTGCAATTACCAGATGAGAGGATTTCATTGCCAGTATCATCCGCGATGAGGGTTGCCCGCGACTATTCAATCTTGAAGATTATGTTGATAGTTTGCCCACGCAGAGTAGACGAGGTCACGCACTCGCGATTCACCGCGATGATTTCCCGAGTGAATCATCAATTCTTTCGCGAATGTCATGAGGGAATTTTTGCCGAGTGTCTTATTCACTTCGCGAAATGTTCAAGACTCCGAGCGTTCGCTATTGATGAATTGTAATTCAATTATTCCGGAGAGATACCGCGGTTATCACAGGATAAAACAGTTTTTTAATGAGTCAACACTTGAGGGCACATTTTCCATCCCCGCTGATCAGTCTTCACTTTCCGAGTCATCGCTGGCCGCATGCGTGTTGGAAATGATTTTTCGCGATCGCGGGGTGACACTTGTGAGATTACATTTCAAAGGACACTCGAGATAACGGTCAGCACAGGACATTTTGGCACGAGGAGGTAGCGTTACGAACTGGGGGGTCGCGATCGCTAGGAGATTTGCGCACTTCGCGTGTCGGTTTGGCGTAGCTTGCTCCTTGCTCCTGTTGATGATGCTGATCCCGAGCAGGTGAGGGATGTTGGGACATGCGACCGCCATCTCGCGGATCGCGGGAGAATCGCGGTTTTCTCACGGCGTTGCCGCTTTATCGCCGAGTGGTTTAGAATTTTCCGGTTTGATCGAGGATCGTGAAGTGAGGAAACCGCGAGAAAAATTGGGGTATGGCTGGACTAGACAAAAACTCTGTACCGTTCGGTGGTCTCGGTGGTTAAATCGTTGGTTCGGCTTGACAAAAAGATATCCTGATTTTGGCGTTTTTTGTATGAAAAAATATTTTTTACCTAGAAATACAAAATTGGGGTCTAGGAGTCTCCCCTGGTTCAAAACCATCTTTCGAGGCATCAGCACGCCATTTCTCGAGCCTAGAAACTGACTTAGACTTATCACAAGTCTATGCACAGTCAGGGATATGCACAGTCGTGGAAGGTTCCATGACTAATCGTCACAAAAACATTTCATCACGACGATTCATCACAAAAGAAAATCATCACAAAACAAATTCAACACAAAACAAATTCATCACAAAACAAATTCAACACGAATAAATAAAAACGCACGATATCAAAATATTTTATCATCTCATCAAATTTATTTAAACCAATTTATAAGACACTACATTATGAAATTGGTTCATTTCCATTAATAACATCATCAACCTAATCATCATCACTAATTGGTTTATCGAAACCACAGAATACAACAATACCTTACAATTTGATATTGCGATTGCACGCAGATAATCAAGAATATTAGTGAATATTAGTGTACGAAACTAATGTTCAATCGGTCCTGTGTTGAATTTCCATGTGATGAATTCAGTAGCGAAGCGGTAAACCGAGTTAAGTCGTTTTTTACTATTGGCTAGTTTTTGACGAATATCTCGGAATCTAAAAGAGATAGAAAGATTCTTGTCATGACCTTTTTTGTAGAGCCAATAGAGCGTAATAAAAAAAGTCGTGAGAAAAATTTTGCTATCTCTCTTAGATTCCGAGATATTCAGCAAAAACTGGCTAATAGTCAAAATCGACTTAACTCGGTTTACCGCTTCACTACTGAATTGTTTGTTGTGATGAATTTCCATGTGATGAAATGCCTGCTGTGATGAATTGATGTGATGTGATGAAATGTCAATGTGAAATTTAGTCCTGTTACGTCGTGGAAGGATCTACGGAGCCCCCCCGGATGGTTCGTGAACCGTCCCGCAATCTCGTGAGGGGCAAGGACAGAATAATGCTCGTATCGAATATGACGGTATAGAATATTGGAGACGCGTTGACCACACTGAGAAAAAAATTTATTCCTTCCAAGAAAATGTTATTGGTGATATCTTTTTCATACTCTTAGTAGAAGAAAATATCTCTTTTGGAACGTATTTCTCCAGGCCAGTCATTTCCAGGTGCTCCGAACTCAGTTCCAAGCGTGAGAATTATGGTGATCTATAAGAATATTCTTCTGCATATGACCTCGAAGAAACTCCAATAATAATTATTAACATTTGGAATTATTCCAATTTTCTTTACCTGAGAAAATCGCCAATTTGTAAAATCCGGAAGATATCGGAGAACATTTTGTCAAGGTCATATGTAGCATAATAATCAGATTGTTCAACATCACTGTAATTTTTGAGGATAGACTTGGACTCTCTGAAAATGACTGTCCTGGAAAAATTCGTTCTGAAAAAATATTATCTTCTGACGAGAATATCAATCCTTGGCAGGAATAATTTTTTCTCTCAGTGCAAACTTCGAAACAACAATTCGTTTGTGGCTCGCGCCACATTTTTTCCCGGTACTTCATTCATTTTTTTTTCAATGGTCGGCCATACGGCATGATGAGAGCCAGTAATTTTTCCATCAAAGTAAACACTTGGAGAGGGCAAATCGAATTGTTTTCAGTGATTTATTTACATTGTTACAATATATACAATTGCCTTCGTATTCTCAAAATTTTGGTGGTCTGATGCATCTTCCGTTGAGGCACATCTTTCCACCACCACATTCTGTGCCATCAGCAGCAGCAATGTCCAATTTCGTGCAGTACTCATTGCGCTCTGGGTTTATGCAGCTTAGCCTTGTGCAGATACCAGCGTTTATCTCGCAGGCCTTGGTCCCCTCCAATTTCTCGCACTGCTTGTCAGCGTTCATGAATCTTCCTGGGAGGTATCTCGGCAGGGGCGCTCTGTGGTTTGGCTTGTTGTAGAGACAAGTGGGATTCGTACTGTGGAAACAAACTCATTGATAAATATTTCATCGCAGCATTGAGATTTTGTTAAAGTAGCTCGATCCTTCGGCCGGGCTGCGCTGTTTTTTTCGATATTTTCAGATTTTTAATTTTTCAACTGAATTGCATGGAAAAAATTTGAGAAAATTCATACCCAGTCAGTATTATCTAAATTAAATTTCGCAAAATATTGATATTTTTTCAAACATTTCACTCTCATAAATAAATAATAAAACTTGTTTGCAAAACTGGATTATTTTTTATGAGGTGTTATGGGGTGTCAAAAAAATTCTTGTTTTCACATCTAATGAAAAAAAAATCAGATTTTAATCTTTGATTAGAATGGAAATGTTGATTTTTACGTGTTTGCAAAACGGTGAATTATTTTTTATGAGGTGACAAAAAAATTCTTGACTGATTTGACCCTGATTTTTAAACATTTCTTCTTTAAAAAACCAAAACGATAATTAAATTGAGGAAAAAAAATTAGAATTCCGAATCTAATCGAGTTTTCTGCAATTTTTTTTGGAGTTTTCAATAATATTTGAATTTACCGTAAGGTTAGAGCTACTTTAAGAGTTTGATCTTACTCGAGGAATTCTTGAATGTCATTCACACTGCACTTGGACCATTCGGCCGAGTTCTCGGTGACACGTCGAGAACCGGCCATTATGTGTCCATCTTGGGAGGGGCAGTCTTTGTGGTTAATTCCATCGTGCAGAGCACCAAATCTGAAATTGAGTTATTGATCAGTGATGAAAAGGATTCAAGTCCACTTGAATCTTTGCTGAGTTTTCGAGGATTATCTCCGAAACTAAGGGAGATAGACAAATTTTTGTAATGACCTTTCTTGCTGAGCGATTTGAGAGCTACAAAAAAGGTGGTGATGAAAATTTTGCTATCTGCCTTAGATTCCGAGATATTCAGTGAAAACTGATCGACAGTCAAAATTAACTCGAAGCTTTTTCGAGGTAATATAGACAGCATCATTATTTCGTTTTATTTATACAAAAAATATAATTCAGTTAAACAATATAATGTGAAACGATAAATGACGTACGAATGACCGAGCTCGTGAGTAGCCGTGTGAATTCCATCGAATGCGGCTGAATCAGTGATAATCGCAACGTTAAACTGCTCTTGGTAGTAATCGTTTCTGTGGCAAGCTCCTCCAACCAATGCTACCCCTGAAGTGACGAACGAGTGACGATTTAATTCGCAAAAATGAGAATGGAAAATAATAATTTGTTTAGGTCAACAATTGAGTAGCGAAGTGGTCAAACGGTTCAAGTCGATTTTCGCTATTGGCCAGTTTTCAATGAATATCTCGAGATCTAAGGGAGACAGCAAAATTTTTCTCATAACCTTTTTAGTAGCACTCAATTCGCTCTATAAAAAAGGTTATTATGAAAATTTCGCTATCTCCCTTAAATTCGGGAATATTCCTGGAAAACTCAACTGAAGACTAAATTGACTTTAACCGTTTGACCACTTCGCTACTGAAGTGTCCGAATGGCCAAGTGGATTTTAATTTGTTTAGGCGATAAATTCATTCAAACTGATTTTTCAACCGTATTTCATACTCTGCACTCTTACCCAGGGTTCCTGAGTCACACTTTTTCTCCCCGGCGTAGAACGAACACAATTCGCGCCTGAAAAAATCGTCGAATCAAGGTTTTTCCAATATTTTTAATGAGTAAATTCACGAATTTTTATGGAGAATTCTAGAACTATCTTACGATGTCATCGTTACGATTACGTCGTAGGCGTCCAGTGGAATGTCTTCTTTACGCGCGTACCAGTAGGGGCCGCTTGCGCGTACGGCTTCACTTCCTTTCGTTACGTTTTCACTGTATTCATTGGCGGTCATGTAGTCCAGTACTTCATCGTCCTAAATCGTATGCATTTATTGAGAGTGGGAATGGGCGATGGTTGTGGATTAATCGAAAAAAACATCGATGTTTTTCATTCCATTTTTCTGACGGCCGATTAATCGATTTTCAATTTTATTTCCAACCATCGATATTTTTGAATAAGTAAAATTTTTTTTTTGTCGAATAATTATATTTGCTGAGAATTAAAAAAATGGTAATTTATCGGCAATTAGAAGCAATTCTTTTTGGTAAGTGGATAAGTCCAATCGGTTATTGTTTTTTTAAATTTAAATTTACAAATTTTTTAAATATCAATTTTTCAGTTTTTTTGCATTTCAATTTTTAACAATTAATGCAACTAACGTCCAGCCACGGAAAATATTAAATATATTTTTTTCAATAAAAATGAGAAGAAAAAATTATGAAAAACAATTTTTTTTTGCTTTTTTTTCCAATCGGTTATTGTTTTTTTAAATTTAAATTTACAAATTTTTTAAATATCAATTTTTCAGTTTTTTTGCATTTCAATTTTTAACAATTATTGCAACTAACGTCCAGCCACGGAAAATATTAAATATATTTTTTTCAATAAAAATGAGAAAAAAAATTATGAAAAACAATTTTTTTTTGCTGTGTAATGAGAAAAAACATGGATTCTTCAATATTGAAAGAATTTCCGACCTACATTGATCAAGGTTTAAATACACTCATCTAAATGAAAAAATAGTAAAATAATTGATAACCTAAATTTCCACTTGATGATGAATTAATATTTAAAATAAGAAACTATAAATTTTCTATTAAATTCAAATAATCGTCAATCTTCCCAACTCAATTACTGATGAATGAAAAATTCGATATTTGGCTATTTAAACTGATGATTGCTTCAGTAATTAAATTCAAGAGTGATATCAATTAATTGGCTGCTTAATAATTTACCATTAATTATTATTTATGCACTCACCTCAGTCAAAACGATACCCGCTATGTTCAGCCGGAACTTTGGATTCTCAAAGTATCTGTATTTCAGATCCACACTGTTCCAGAATGCAACTATGTATGCAGTTGCGTACCAAAAATCTTTGCCCAGTTTTTTGTAGAGATCGTGAGTGACGACGATTAGAAGCTCAGGGTATACGATGTCGGGTCTTTCCGGTGTTTTAGTTGCCGATAATTTTGGGTAATCGACACTTGCCATTACTGAAACGCCGATAAATCATGAGTACGAGCCCGCTTGAATTGGGAAATATTCGCAGAACCTACGTAATTCAGAATATTTTTGATCGACCGCAGGGGGTGCTTTCTTGTAGACAATGTGATAATGATGATCGTCTTGCTCGGACTCGGGAATATCGTCCACTGATCTGCGCTGCCTCTTGACCTCCTCGACGAGACGTTCGGGAATTGGCGTGATTACCAAATTTTCAGATGCTATTGTTCCAATCTTAGTGGCACAGACCAAGAACATCAGTGAATAGTGCAGTTTGATGATTTTACGGACAAAAAAATTTAATTGTAGAACCTATCGAATTCGTTGGAAAATTCTATTGAATTTCTATTGAACTGTTCGATTAGTTTTTGGCCGATTCTAGTGAAATGTTCAATAGAAAATATATGAAAAGAATAAGTTATATAGAAAAATCGAATTCTGTTGACTTTTTCTATTGAACATGTCTATAGAAGCAGCCAAAAATTAATAGAAAGTTGAATAGAAATTCAATAGAATTTTCTAATGAATTCGATAGGTTTTTCTATTAAATTTTTTCGTGCGTGTTACGAGGGTGATTCAACACGGAGAGGAATTGTTTAGAAAAATTCTGTGGCGATTCGTACAATTTCAATTCCGACTCGCACTTTTTATTGAAATTCCACTTCGCTCGCGGTTTCCGCTCAATGTAATATTCATTTTCTATTTTACTTACCATTGCCCGACTGTTATCGTCTCTCTGACGGACCACGAGTGCCGCTGACTTTTTCAAGTCTTCGTATGCCTGAAGCTTCTCCATTACCTGTAAAGACACCGTCAACATGACCAAGTCTGCACTGTTAGAAAATTACTCTTAAAATTACATGGAAATCTATGTAAATTTACATGGAATTTCCTTATTCTGACCCTCATGACCTCTATTCTGACCCTCGTGACCCTTAATCTGACCTGTGATAATTTACATGGAATTTCCATTGATCTTGTTAAAATTTTATTTCTCAGGTTCACACGACAACGCAAATTACTGAAAATCATGAAAATTCAACTTTTCTTCCGAATTTTCAATCTGTTACTTAATTTTCGCGATAGGTTTGAAACTCCAAATTGTCATTAACAATTCAATGATCATTCATAACGAAAATCTTAATTTTACTGAATTTCCAAGATGAATCCGGAATTCCACGATCAATTTAGTGTAAAATTGAATTTAATTTCAGAATATTGAAGATTCAAATGCATCTGTTACCCAAATTTCAAACAAATTCTAACAGTGTATTCGGAAAATACCGAATAGGGAAATGACCTAGAGAAATGAGCTTACGTCGGAGTACTCTGTTAAATCAGGGCCAGAGTCCCCTGATTTTAGTAGGTAAACTGGAGTGTCGTAGCCAACGAGAATTCCCTCCGTCGGCTGTAGCCACAGTTCAATGTCTGACCCGAAAGCCCTCAGGTAGATTCCAGTGCTACCGTCCGCCGACCTCTTCTCCACTCGCGGCCAGTGGATTGAGGTGATTTCATAATCGACAACTGCAATGATTTCAGTTGTGATGCCCAATTGAATCACGAATGAGTGATATCACGTATGAAAAAATTCTATAGGATTTGCTATAGGATTTCCTATAGGATTTGCTATCGAGTTTGCTATAGGATTTGCTATATGATTTTCTATAGGGTTTGCTGTAGGAATTGCTATAGGAATTGCTATCGCGATTGCTGTACGATTTCCTATAGGATTTCCAAATAGGACTTGCTATAGAGTTTGCTATAGGACATACTATAGGATTTGATGTAGGATTTCCTATAGGATTTGCTATAGGATCTGCTATACGATATCCTATAGGACCTGCTATAGCATATCCTATAGGATTTACCGTAGAATTTCCTATAGGATTTGCTATAGGAATTGCTGTAGGATTTCCTATAGGATATCCTATAGGATTTGCTGTAGAATTTCCTACAGGATTTGCTACATGAATTGCTGTAGTATTTCCTAGGGAATTTGCTGTAGGACCTGCTATAGGATATCCTATAGGATTTGCTGTAGAATTTGCTATAGGAAATCCTATAGCCAATCCTATAGGAAATGTTCCAATTCTCCATAGGATTTCCTATAGAAAATCCTGCAGGATATTGTCATACGTGATAAATTTTTTGAGCAATTGACTCTGAATTTTTTACCATCGTCGCCCATCGTCTTGAAGGCCTGCATTCTTTCGCTGGGAGTCATTTGCTCATGTATCTAAAATTAATCAGTCATTAGGCATTTCTAATGTTTCCATAGTCATTAATACACTCACCCTCTGCAGTGGCACAGCACTCGCTGCGCAAAGTACAGCAAATCCCCAGAACAGCATCGTAATTCCTACGAATAGTGTCATCATGAGGAGACGAAACTCTTGTGATTGTATTTTCATTATATTAGCGCAGAAGAGATTAGTGCTCACCTCGCATTTCCGATTATTCACTTCCTTCCTCGAGAAATGGCAAACGAATGTATCGAGAAACTGTCTTCAGTTCCTTTTAAATGCAATCTGCCCTTGGCAATCTATTGATACTCTGATAAAGACACTTGATCGCATAACTTTACGTCAGTCAGCCTCGTGAATTTCATTCAATAAGATCCAAGGTCAATTGTTTGTTGTGATAAATTATCACTTACGATATTTATGACTTGCCAAAATTACAGGATCATTCGCCGCTTTGCGGTTCGATTATTTCACTTCATTTGCGATACGACTTAAATATTTATTCAGCATGTGGAGGAAGGCTTGGAATTATTCTCACATCGCGGAAGGTTTTTACAATTTTCCATGAATGGAATCGACTGACCGTTACTCGCTCTAATAATTGATTAATCAGTTCGGCATCGATCAAAATATGTATTCTTCATTGCTCTCATCCCTGAAGTATTATTGCTTAACAAAATGGTGAATGTGAAATGTTCTCATGAATGGATCACACAAAGGAAGAAACTGAAAATTCGGATCAAATCATTTGATTCATATTCATCGCGACACTGTGAGCATTCACAGGTCAATCGCACCCAGTGAATTCGCCTCATAGACCGGGTAGTTTCAATTTGAAGTCACGCATGCCTCGTATTGATGACATGGACACACATAGGAAAATCTAAACGTAAATTAATAGAATAATAACCCGAAAAAACCGTTTCATAGAATAATTGACCCGAAAAATCAAATATTTTATTGATTTCCAGATCATTTGAACAGAAAATCAATGGGATTTTCGATTTTTCACACGATAAAAATTTCCGTAATTTGGCACGGAAAAATTACAACGAAAATTTTGAATAGTGTAAGTGTAAATAACGTTTAACAAACCGCAATTTACGCTTGGCAAAACGTAATTTACATTTAGGTTTCTCTGTGTGCACACAGCCTTAATCTTCTCACACTAAGACCCCATATAAATCAATGAGTTGTGCTTAATGTACGATTATCCTTCAAACTGTCGACTTACACGAATCACAAGTGTATTCTTCCCAAAATTAAATGACGATTCTTTGAATTACGAGGCGAGTGGGTTAATCAACAATAAATCACACTAGACATGTAGATATGTATCCTTTATTCTACTTATCCCTAAAGTATTCAAATTTAACAAAACGCTGAATAATAAAATGTCTCCAAAAATGGATAGCACAAAAGTATAAACATAACATTGAAATCAAATGAATCATTCGATTCACATTAATCGTGACACCGTAAGCATTCAACAATAACTCCATAAGAATCATGAATTCACCGTTCACTCGCAACCAGTGAAATCCTCTCATAAAAGGGTAGTTTCAATTTGACTTCACACATGCCTCGTATCGATGACGACAGCATGTGCAAATACAGCCTCAATATTTTCACACTATGACGCTATGCAAATCACTGAGTTCTGCTTAATGTACGATTATTCCCTAAACTGTCATGTCTCTCATCATCATCATCAACAGCGATCAAATGTCTTTCAACTTCTGCGAATGCGCAACCACAACCAGAGACAATCGTCACTGGTGTATTCACTTGTGATCACCAAAAACATTTCAAGTTGACGATGAAAAATAGGTATCACCCCTACTTATCACGGGTACAGTTGATTGCGGGACAAATGATCAGAAATTTGATCACATGGTCAAGCCACCACAAATCCTTCTATCACAAGCTGTTTTGATCACCGGACAATTCAGCGGTTATACGTCAGCTAAGTTTCCTATTGAAATATGGAATTCCTACTATGCAGTCGTCAATGATGAGCCCAGGACCAATAGTATGATGGAAGGTTGGCATAATGCTTTTCATCAACGTGTTGGTAGAAATCATGAGCAGTTGGGCAGATTTATCAATGCTTTGAAAGTCGAGCAAGCGTTGTCTGAAGTGATTTGGGAGCAATTTAATGCTGGCCGTCTCATTTCATCAAGGAAGCGGAAGAAATACTGTGATTACGATGTTCGTTTCTACGCGGTGGTGACGTCGTGGGTTAATGAGGGCGATGTTTTGGAGTATTTACGCGGGGTTGCTCACAATCTTTCTCCGTGAGAAAGAACCATTATCCAACACGACAACTCAATGGATTCTAATGAATTATTAAATACTCTAAAACTTGAACCGTTCATGGTTTTCATGTTTTTTTTTTCATCGTAATTAAATATACACTAAATACACTGAATTGCTGATAATTTAATATTGTGTGATGTATTTTCTTGATGATCTAATTATTCTGTGATTATTTTTCTCGTGATCAATTGTCCTGTGATCAATAGAGGTGCAATCTAAAAATATCCACTCAGCACTAGCTCTCTCCCTTCCTCCCCTCAAATCAATCATTTTGTCTCATCGGGAGATGTCTCCCTCCTTGATCCTCGTATTCAGCAAAAATTTCATGATCTATTTTGCTCTCCATTCGATCGTCCACAATTGGTGGTCTTTTTGCTGGGGCCATTGTTTGACAAGTGCTTCCACAGTCCTGTAATCAGTGGCACATCTGTGAAACAATCGGCCTTGGGCTACGACTGCTACGAACACATGAGATCGACAGATCGCGATTCTCCCCAGGCATTTTGAACTTTGAATCCTGGCATTGGCCTAGGCACAACATGATTACTCATGCTACCTGTGTGTCTTATTGTCGCCATGGGGATGCCATTCGCAGTTGATTTCTTCGTTGTCTTCCTCATTTCTCCGCTCGAGTCATCTTCAAAATGAACCTGACATTGGAATCATCAATGAAAATGAGTTATTGGTAGTCATGATGTGAGTCATGGGTGATTATTGTCGGGACTTACCCAGGTTTTTTCGGAGGGTTTCACCTCGTGGGTCAGATCAATCAGCAGATTCTTCTCGCTCTTCTTCACCTCGGCCAACGTCTCCTCGGACTTTCCGATGGTTTTGTCGTTGTTGACTGGAATGGATAGGAAAATATGTGATTTTTAGGAAGTTTTGCTCGAGTTGTTTGATAATAATGAAGATAACGCGGGAGACAATGTTTGGTCTTGACAATCTCACTTGAGCTCTTGTGTAAATACATCAACATATGGGGAATTTCATTGTATGCAGGAGGCTGTGTACCTCATTACCACTCGACAACTAGAAATTGTATTGATAGAGGGAATAGGGCTCTCAAGGAGAGCAGAATTATCAGAGTCAACATTAGAGCTTTAATGTGAACATATGGGCGTGGAGATATTTGATATTGTTCAAAATATTTTAATTATATCACGAATGTTAATTGAAATCAGAAAATTCAGGCGAATGTATCCTAAAATTTCCAATGAAATCTGAAATTTCATTTTTTATTTTCCCTCAAAATCGAATTTATTGTCGAAAGATTGAAATTTTCATTTTTTCTACTATTTCTCATAAAATTCTCGCCTGGCCCTTTTGACCCTTATTTTGACACCTATGACTCTTATTTAAACCCTTATTCTGACCCTTATTTTAACTATGACCCTTGTTCAGGCCCTTGTAACCTTTAATCTGACCCTCATTATAACCATTGTGACCATTATTTTACCCGTGGTGACCCATAATCTGATCCTTGTGATACTTATTTAGACCCTTGATCTGCCCCTTGTTACCCTTATATGACCTTTAATCTGATCCACATAACCTTTGCAGCCCTTAATCTGATCCACATAATCCTTGCGACCCTTAATCTGATCCACATAATCCCTAATCTAACTGTTGTGACCTTTATTTGGATCTTTAATTTGCCCCTTGTGACCCTTAATCTGATCCTTGTGACCCTTAATCCTGAATCTGACCCTTGTGACTTATTTAGACCCTTATTCTGACCTTTAATCTCACCCTTGTGACCCTTATTTGGACCCTTAATCTGACGCTTGTGACCCTTAATCCTTAATCGAAAAAACTGAAATTTTCATTTTTTTTTTCTGTATTTCATCAAAATCTCTCCTGACCTTCCAGACCCTCATAATTCTAGCCATCACCAGTCTCACCCTCCCGGCCCTTGCGGCCCTTTCCTCCACGCACGCATCCAAAAAATTGTACATTCCCAATAATTTCCAAGAATGTTGAATATGATTAATGGAAATTTAATAGACCTCAGGAATGTGGAGGCCATTATCCGGTGGAAATCCATCAGTGAATTGCTTTCTGACCCCCCCCCCCTCCCCCCGGCAGCCACACGTACCCGGTATGCATATCCCCGAGTTAATGGAACACTCGGCCAACCAATCGCATTTAGCATTTGTGATTAAACTTCTCTGTCTCAATCCAGTGGCCACTATTCAATACTATTGATTCACTAATTTGCATATTTCAATTGACATTCATACCAGCTGCGCCAGCAACCCACCATTTCCCCCGCGCGCGCCAAGTGTCAATACCAATTGTTAGAAGGGTTTAAAGTAGCTCTACCCTTGTGACCCTTGTGACCCTAGTTGTACCCAAAGATTATTGAAAACTGCAAAAAATTGCAGAAAACTCGATTAGATTCGGAATTCTAGATTTTTTCTCAATTTAATTATCGTTTTGGTTTTTCAAATAAGAAATATTTAAAAATCAGGATTGAATTCAGTGTCTTATGTGAAAATCAACATTTCCATTGTAATCAAAGATTAAAATCTGATTTTTTTTCATTAGATGTGAAAAAATCAAGAATTTTTTTGACACCTCATAAAAAATAATCCACCGTTTTGCAAACAAGTTTTATTATTTATCTATAAAAGGGAAATATTTGAAAAAATATCAATATTTTGCGAAATTTAATTTAGATAATGCTGAATGGGTATGAATTTTTTCAAATTTTATCCATGCAATTTAGTTGAAAAATTGAAAAACTGAAAATATCGAAAAGTACAGCGCAGCCCGGCCGAAGGGTAGAGCTACTTTAACAGTGGAAACAATTGATATACTTACGGGGAATAGTGTTGAGAGTCTTGCTGGGTGGATGATGAATGCGTGGATCAGCTCGGGACTGTTGCCAGGCTTCGTATGCTGTGTTGAATGCCTGGGCAACAGTTAGTGTCACTGTTTGGGCGGTTTTTCTTTTTGGGCATAAAAAAGCATGGCACTCCATTGTCTCATTCAGATTTGTCGCTATGAATGCGAATACATGATCGTGAGCGGCATCCGCGGAACAGTAGGAAATCCTGGAGGCGGAAGATAAAAGGAGAATAAATTCATGAATTTTTATTTCCATTTGAGTGTTGTTTATTTGCAAATTTTTCTGTTCAACTCGGGAATGTTTTTTGGGATCAATGAGGGGGAGGGGGATAAAGGGTGTTTTTTCGTTTGTCATTTTTTTGTCGCCCGGATTGTTCAATTGAAGTGGATAAATCAGTAGCGAAGCGACACTGTTTAAGTTCATCTTGGTTGAGTTTTCGAGGAATATCTCTGGATTTGAGGGAGATAGCGAAATTTTTGTCAAGACCTTTTTTGTAGCTCTGAGTTCGCTCTATGAAAAAGGTCATGACGAAAATTTTGCCATCTGCCTTAGATTCCAAGATATTCTCTCAAAACTAACCGATTTCGTGAAATAATCTTCACGAGTATTACTAATATTAATATTATTATGTTTGTTATATACTAGACCTGTGCGCGCGCTATCTATTCGTTGTAAAAATGAAGAAATCGAATTTATTAAACTTCGTATACTCATAGATGTTTTATAAATATTGATAATGACTTGAAGAGAATTAAGAGAATGAAGAGTGAAAAATCAATGAATAATTTTTAATCTTCGATTAATTCTTTTTTTTTACTTTAAAAATAATCTGATTAAAGTCTGTAATTGTTGAAAAATGAGGGGAGGGTTATGAATTGATTTCCTAGAAAACTGAAAAAATATCTTGAATTCTTCGGAAAATTTCACAGTTTTCCAGATAACCGCAGATCTTCAAAGATTTTTCTCGAATTATTTGGGAAACCGAAGAATTTTCATGAATTTTGTAGAGTTTAGAATTTATTTATGAAAATCTGAGAAGCAAGAATTGATCATTTTTGCGTATGATAAATATGAAAAAATTGAAATTTGGGAAGTGAAGTATAATTTGTAAGTTGAAAAAATTTAGAAATACTTTTTTTCTCATGATCAACAATGAGGCAATTTAGATACGTTTCGATATAAAGATTAACTTCACACATGAAAAAGTGATGAATATGACGCAGAAAAATTTTTTGGCATTTGAAGAATTTGAAAATAGCGGGGATTTTTTCAGCGACAATTTCACGCGACTCGTTGACCAATCAGAATTGAGGATTAGCGGTCAGGTAGTTTCGAGATATTTCGATATAAAACAACTTCACGTTTCTTCCATCTTTAGTGAATACTTTATTCACCTATATATTGAGACTTGGAGTTGGTCCTCTTCCGTAGCCAAATCAGTCATGCGAATGCCCCGAAGGCTGACCCCGAGAGAGACTCTCTGTAATTTTTTACCACTGGCCTTTACCTGAAACAAAATACGTCAACTGTAATTAATTAACGCCCTCTCCGGCTGCAGTCATCTGCTCAGGTACGCGCTAATTGCCCCAGTATTTTCCACAATGATAACGTGTGTGCATTGAGCTCACAGTTTTCCGTCACCCTCCGAGGGGGATGAAAGATACGAAAAGCTCTCTGTGCCGACATCCGCTTATCTGACATCGTCAGACTTGAGAGCTTTGTTCAGTTACGAATCTAAAGCTCCGTCCACGGTCTCTCGTGGAGAGGGAGGGTGCCTCCGTGAATATAAATATTAAACAGAAATATTTCTCGAGAGAAAAATTGCAAATATTAATATTATTAAGCGCAATACATTGATGTTAATATTAATATTAACGTCAATAATAATTTAATCGTATTATATTAAATATTAGGGGGCTTCGCCCCCCCCTGCTCGCTCCGCTCGCCAACTCGGAGGGGCTTGCCCCCCCGCTCGCTTCGCTCGCTCTCCCCCCATCCGTGTGGCCGCAGCGGTGTGACCGTACCCATAAATATATTCCATATTGGCACCCCCTCATATAGACATCCCTTATAAATACAGGCACCTCCCCACATAGGAACCCCTATATAGGCACCCAGCGTCCCCTGAATTTTTCACCTAATTTTTTTATTTTTATAGAGAGATATTATATAGTATATTAAATGAGAGATGAATATTGCTTCATCGAAAAATGAAAAATATTAATATTAACATCAATATTTTTAATTTTTTGACGAAGCAATATTCATCTCTCATTTAATATACTATATATCTAATATAATACGATTAATTACAATCTATTAATATTAATGTAATTCACCGAATCCTGCGGAGCTGAAAGAAATTTCACTCCTCGGTGATTTCTACGTGTGTACTACGATATTACAGATTATATTTTCAAAGGAATGAATGAATTTCACAATTTTAAACATAATTTTTCCAGTTTCGTTTCGTGAATATTTATAAAATGTCTGAAGTAAATTAATTAATGTGTTCATGAAGGAATTTGCCCTAATTTCATTCGCGAATTACATATTTGAAATGAAAATCCCACTACGTTTGAGAGAGAAGTATTTCTTCAGAGAAAAATTCTGAATATTAATATTATTAAGCATAAGACATTAACAATAATATTTTTATTTAATATTGATAGATTATCTTATTTAATATTGATAGATTTAAAATATTAATAGAAGATAATTAATCGTATTAATCTATGTTATAAAAATCCTAATTGATTTCTGGTGATGAAAATTTGATTCTCGAAATTAAGACTCCAAAATTAGGGGTCGCGAGGGTTAGAGTAAGGGCACAAGCAGCAGATTAAGGGTCGTGAGGGTCAGAATAAGGGTCACCAGTGTCAGATTAAGGCTCGTGAGGGCCAGCACAAGGGTCACGAGAGGCAGATTAAGGGTCACGCGGGTGAGAATAAGGGCCGCGAATGTCAGATTAAGGTTCACGAGTCAGAATAAGGGGGCCACGAGGGTCGGCTTAAGGTTCATGGGGGTCAGATTAAGGGTCACAAGGGTTAGAATAAAGGTCCAAATAAGAATCACAAGGGTCAGATTAACGGACACACGGTTCCGATCCAAACAAGGGTTATAAGGTTCCGAGTCTAAGGGTCGAATCCGCGGGTCCCCCAGTGTAATCATAATTACTCAATTTCCGTTTTGTTAATATTTATAAAATGTCTGAATTAATTTAATGAATGTATTCGTGAAGGGGCGTGACCCAATTTAAATCGCGAATAAATGAAGTTAATCTTTTCCTCATGCATATGACACTCATTACATAAATGAAATAAAAATCCCACTGAGTTACATGAATTAATCATCTGTGCAAACATTCGTATTATCGTAATACCTACCCATACATTTCCGCAAAATGAAGGATTGCGGGGTATGAATAAGCAAATGACAATATTGAACAGTTATAATTGCTCCGAAATAACAAGTTTATTTTGACATAGCCTTCGTCGCAATGAAAATAATTACTCCGGGTACATACCATGGTCATGACTGTTTTGATAGCCTCGGCGGTTGCCTCCTCGCTGGAGGGCGTCTCCACCAGAGTGCTACCCAGGTATTTGAGTGTAAATGTCGCCTCGGTAACATCACCATGGTCGCTACTCAGTCCACTACCACTGCCACTGGTGCTCTCCACGCAGTCACGACTGTTGGCTAGTGCCCATTCTTCGCACAATTCTGGAACAATTCGGGGGGAGATAAAATTATTTAGGATTATTGGTTTAATGATGAGTGAGGACGCGTATAAATTTTTGTGGAAATTGTAGTTTTTACGGCGATGAATAATTTTATGGTTTGCGAAATCTGTCGATTCATAAAAATACAGATTTTTTTACGATTCAAGGATATTTGTCCAGAGTTGCAAGTGTTCAAAACATTATTGATTGTTTCTCTCTATATTATAAAAATCAAAATCAACGTCTGGTGATGAAAATTTGGTGTAAGTGTGAAAATAAGGGTCACGAGGGTTAAAATAAGGGTCATGAGGGTCAGAATAAGGATCACGAGGGCGGAATAAAGGTCACGAGAGTTAAAATAAGGGTTGCGCGGGTCGTGAAGGTCAGAATAGAGGTCATGAGGGTCAGAATGAGGGGCACGAGGGTTAAAATAAGGGCCATAAGGCTCAGAATTGAGGTCTCAACGATCAGAATAAGGATCACGAGGGCAGGAAAAAGGGTCACGAGGGCTAGATTAAGGGCCATGAGGGTCAGAATAAGGCTTACGAGAGTTACAATGAGGGATAGATTAAGGAGGGATAGAATAAATATCATAAAGGTCAGATTAAGGGTCCAAATAAGGGTCATGGGGGTCAGAAATTAATGGCCATAAGGGTCAAAATAAGGGTCTCTACATATCTTGTCTATATTATAAAAATCCAAATCGACTTCTGGCGATAAATACTCCAAAATTGAAGGTCACGAGGGGTTTAATAAGGGTCAGACTAAGGGTCGCAAGGGTCAGAATAAAGATCATAAGGGTCATATGTAGGTTGGCGAGCAGAGCGAGCAGGGGGCGTAGCCCCCTAGTATTCTTATAACAATATCTCTCTTGTTATCTATTTTTATGTGATTTTTAAGCCCTTTAATGAGTGAATTTTTAATTGAAAGGTGAATTAATTGATAATTGATAAAATGACGTATTTCGTGGAATATGTTCTTTCAAAAAAATGTTGATTTTTTTTTCACCATAAAAACTGTCAATCAACTCATCAACTCATCAATTTTATTTATTCAATTCATCAATTGTCAATGAATTTACTTTCATATTGAAAATTCACCTGTCAGAAGACTTGAAAAAAATAAAAATAAAAAAGCAAAATAAAAATAGGCAGAAGTAGAGATATTTTTATCGAATGAATTGAAAAAAAAACGGTTATTTTGAGTTCTTGCAATTCTGAATAAATAGTCTTGATAAAGGGTGAAAAGGACTATTCAATGCACGTCATAGATACCATTGATTCAATAGACATGCGAATGGTTCTTTTCAGAGCTCGCGAGGAACTCTTCATTTCCCCAGGGTATTCCAAATATATCTGACATTTCGAGAGAGGAAAATATTGAAATTCGCATATAATTCAAATGTCTCGCGTTTGGAATATCCGACGGTGAGAAGGGGCTCAAAGGTTCAATAGTCAAATCCGTATCGACGATTCTATTGGGAGAAAAAAAAGAAGACTTGGAAACGTTATCCCAAGGGATGATGGCTGAAGTCGAATCGATGGAAGTAAATGTATGTTCATGGAGGTACAATGTACTACGAACAGAGATGGAGAAAAAATTTATCTCAATTAATATATTCTTTAATGCTAAATAATGGATTTCACAAGAGTCATATGAAATATCAAATTAAATTGACAAAATATTTTTTTACGTTTTTTTTTTCAGTTGTGTGTTCAAAATTGATATTTTGAGGTTTTTATTTATTTTTGCATTGATATCTTGCACTTTCTGTTGCTCGAACATTTGGAATTTCATTGAAGTTTCAGTGAAATATAAAATTTCAGTATTTCTTCCATGATTTTCTAATGTGCCGGTTCAAACTTTCTGCGTCATGTTTATAATTTTTTCATGTGTCAAGTTTATCTTTATATTGAAACATATCTAAATTGCTTAATTGTTATTCGTGAGAAGAAAAATCTAGTATTTCTAAATTTTTTTAACTCAAATTATTCTTCACTTCCCAAATTTCAATTTTTTCATATTTATCATACGCAATAATGATCAATTCTTGCTTCTCAGATTTTCATACATAAATTTTAAACTCTACAAAATTCATGAAAATTCTTCGCTTTCCCAAATAATTCGAGAAAAATATTTGAAGATCTACGATTATCTGGAAAACAGAGAAAATTTTCCGAAGAATTCAAGAAATTTTTTCAGTTTTCTAGGAAATTAATTCATAACCCTCCCCTCATTTTTCAACAATTACAGAATTTAATCAGATTATTTTAAAAAGTAAAAAAAAAAGAATTAATCGAAGATTAAAAATTGTTCATTGATGTTTCTCTCTTCATTCTCTTAATTCTCTTCAAGTCACTATCAATATTTATAAAATATTTGAGTATATTTGTAAACTCACAAATTATTCTTCACTTCCCAAATAATTCGAGAAAAATCTTTGAAGATCTACGGTTATCTGAAAAACTGAAATTTTCTGAAGAATTCAAGAAATTTTTTCAGTTTTCTAGGAAATCAACTCATAACTCAGATTATTTTAAAAATAAAAAAAAAAAGAATTAATCGAAGATTAAAAATGATTCATTGATGTTTCCCTCTTCATTCTCTTAATTCTCTTCAAGTCACTATCAATATTTATAAACCATCAATGAGTATATGAAGTTTAATAAATTCGATTTCTTCATTTTCACAACGAATAGATAAGCGCACGCACAGGTCTAGTCTCTCATGAAATTTCAATTTTTTTTTCTAACAGTAAACCGTTCTTAAATTTTTAACATCAACTTCTGTCCATTCCTCTGTGCCTCCCACCAACAACCAGTAGATTATCCCTTGGTTACGTCTCGACACACGAGCTTAGTGAGGGATTCTGAGGGTAATGGTGGAGGCACAAGCGACATTGCATTGTGGAACGGGAGACGCCCGGAGAGCAGAGGGCAAAGCGTTCTGTATTCCCCTGACGGCTGCGTCTGGACGACCGAGAGCTTAATCTTCGTCCCTGTCATTGTGTCATTGCGGTCGCGAACTCGTATTACCTTCCGATAGTCGTCTCCACGCAGACAAATGTTTCATTTCAATTAAATGAACTTTATTGAATGATTTTATTAGATTCAATCGAATTCAAATTTTTTTAAATTGTGCACACAACGAAAAATAGATCGTAGGAAGATATTTCAAATTTATTCGATGTTTTACATGACATTTGTGGAATCAAAGACGTAGAAATCAAATTTATTGAGTCCCCTAGTAAAATATAATATTCATGAAATATGTGAAAATATTATAAAAATCATAGTATTTTCAATTCAGAAAATTGCCACTAAATCCAAAATAAAATAATCATCCAATTTATAAATAATACTATCACATGAAACGTAACTATGAATTTAACGTGATGGATTTCGCCAATTTTTTTGCAGAGAATTCGCGAAAAAAAAAGTTTCCACTCATTCGCTCCCACCGAAAATCCCCTAGACTCTATCCCCTTTGCCGATATAAGACTTCAGTCTTCATTTTGACAACTCTAATTGGCGTTAAAGCCAAAGTGACCCTCTCTGTGACCCCAAAAATCGCTCTCAACGTTTTTTTTTCGCAGAGTGGAATTAAAAGTGGAATGGGGTTTCTCAAATCGTGTCTGGAATGTAAAAAAGGGCTTTGTCCATATACCCCAGAGGCTTTTACTGGTTCTTATGTACTTTTCAGGGGGGGGGGGAGGAAAGTTCTCGACGGAAGAATGAAACTTTTGGAACGCTACGGATGGAGTTACTTTGGTGAATTCTTTGTAGCCTCTTCTCAGCTTGTTTTATTCCACTCTCACCAGGTTTTGATATTTTTTCGTCGGTTATATTGTTTTATTTATTTCTTTATCATGCACGAGTGGAGAAAAATCACACAGTCGACTTGTAATTTTCAGGAGGGTGACATTGAATGCCATTTGAGGAAGGAAAAAATCATGAAATTTTAAATTTTGCCAAAAATTCTCAACAGTGTATTCAATATTTTATATTTTATTTGGAAATAAAAAAAAAAGAAATTCATGAAAAAAATTCTTTTTCAATAAAAAATTTATATTTTAAATGAAATATAGAATTAATTTTGAAAGATATTTTTTTTTTCGTTTGAAAAAAATAAAATAATATAAAATATTAATAATATAATAATAATAATAATAATAATAATAATAATATGAAATTTCAAACGAAGAAAAAAATATTTTTCAAAATTAATTCTATATTCCATTTAAAATAAAAAATTTTGAACAGAAAAAGAATTTCAAATCTAAAAAGATGCACGTCTGATGAATTCTGACCCACTCCATTGGTAGCGTACCCCGTGCAGTGCACTCGTATCTTATCCCGTAAAGTTCATTCCAAAAGTCTCGTTACGTTATAAAAGCCCGTTGAATTCAAACCCCTTGATGCCTGTTAATCCTTTTTCTCCTACCGCTACCGTAGATCAAACTGCCTCCGACGTGATTTATATTCCGTCGTGTATATGAAGAGAAATTGATTTTCCATAAATCAAGGGAGGTGTTATAACCTGGCATTCTGAGTAACATTTTCAACGAAAGCTCACTGGTACGTGATATAACACCGTATGCGTACGGCATTCACGATTGATTGATGTTTTAATCAAGAGGTACAGCGTGCATCCATGTATCATGATGCTATGGGGCCAAATTACTGGGGTAAGTGAGTAAATTTTCATGATGAAATTAATTTCGGGTATTATTTTTGAGGAAGAGTTGCATCCGTATGGAATTATCCAACTCTATTTTATGCACTTATTTATGTATTTTTTTAATTTTTTTTTTATTTGTTCATTTATTTATTTATTCATTTACTAGGGGGCTACGCCACCTGCTCACTCCGCTCGCCACCCCCCAAAGGACCTCCACGATCCTTGATCTGTCCTTTGTTACCCTTAATGTGACCCTTCTGACCTCTAATCAGACCCTTGTGACCCTTAAACAGACCCTTATGACCCTTTTTTTACCCTCAT